TCATTTTTGGTTACAGTTTCCCCAAATTTACGATTGCCGACAATTATCTTATGTTTCAATAAAACATTTTTGTGCGAATGCCAAGTAGCCTGGATTGGTGGGTCACAGAATTCGTAAACTAAGCCGATATTGGAGCCTCAACCCACGGTCTAATAAGGCGTACGCACGGGTTACATAATGCGTACGTACGACTTATTAAGGCGTACGTACGGGTTACATAAGGCGACGTACGCCTTATTAAGGCGTACGTACGGGTTACATAAGGCGTACGTATGACTTAATAAAGCGTACGTACGCCTTAATAAAGCGTACGTACGCCTTAATAAAGCGTACGTACGCCTTAATAAGGCGTACGTACACGTTATGTAACCCGTACGTACGCCTTAATAAGGCGTACATACGCCTTAATAATAAGCGTACGTACGGGTTACATAGCCTTATGTAACCCGTACGTAGGCCTACGCTTTAATAAGGCGTGTGAACCCTTTAGGAGGATACACCCGCACAGGATACCTGAGGTGAAGGCAATGATTCAGGAGATGGTTGACCAACAAATAATCAGGCCATCTAAAAGTGCGTACGCTAGCCCTGTCGTAATAGTAACCAAGAAGGACGGATCCTTGCGACTATGCATAGATTACAGAAGGCTAAATGCAATTACAGTGAAGGACTCGTTCCCGCTACCACGAATAGACGAGGTGCTGGATATCCTAGGTGGGGCTAAATACTTCACTACATTGGACTTAGCCCACGGTTACTACCAAGTGACAATGGACACAGAATCAATAGAACGCACCGCTTTCAGAGTGCCATGGGGCCTGTATGAATACCTAAGAATGCCTCAAGGTCTCAGTAATGCCGCAAATACATCCCAACAGGTTATGGTGTTCATATTTGCAGACATAATTTGGTCGACCTGGTCCTATATTTGGACGACATATTGATTTTTTCGCACAGTTAGTAAATCGCAAACCCCAACAATCAAGCCACCGTTACGTCATCTTCTTGCTTTCAGGCCACTGGAGTTGGTAGCCATCGACTTCCTTAAGCTGGACAGAGGTAGAGGAGGATTTGAAGATATGTTGGTCATAACTGATGTGTATTCTAAGTTTGCAGCTACTGTTCCGTGCAAGGACCAATCGGCTAAAGGCGTAGCAAGGGCTCTTCGAGATAATTGGTTTGTTTGCTATGGGGTAGGATTCATTCCGACCAGGGCAAAAAATTCGAAAGCCATGTGATTAAGGAGCTATGCAAGCTATACAATATAACGAAATCCAGAACCTCAGGCTACCACCCAGCCGGTAATGGCCAGACCGAAAGGTTTAATATGACACTGTGCGGTTTGCTGAGGGCTGTCAAGCCTGCAGAGAGAAGACGATGGCCTGAGATGCTTGGATATGCGGTGTTCATGTGCAACACTACACCCCATTCTGTAACTGGTGTCACACCCTACTTACTAATGATAAGAAGGGAACCCAAATTGCCAATAGACCACTACTTGGATAACACAGCTTCTAACTGGGATGAGGACTATATACACCAGCAGTCAGAAATAATGGAAAGGGCAGCGGAAGTCCTAAGTGCTAGGTTAAGGGCAGCGGCTGAAAGGGAGGAGAAACGTCACTTGCCGACTAACTGCGAGCAGTTTGCAATTGGTGATAGGTGATAGGATTTTGCTTCGTCGTGAATGTTTTGATGGCAGACACAAACTTGTCGACAAGTACTTTGAAACATCCTATATTGTTACCGGCGTAAACACTGAAGGCGACGTATACCAAATTCGGCCAAGTGATGGAGAGTTAACTAAATGGGTTAACAGAAGGAGAATAATTAGAGATCCCCGAGATGCAGAACAAGAACAAGAAAAGGAGTGCTTAATTACAGACATGCAAAGTGTAGAAGATACATCAATAAATGATTGATCGGACGACTCTTCAGACGACTCTTCGGAATCCGAAGACGAAATTTGGCTACAGTTCAGAAACCTGGAAGTACCCCGACCTCTACGAAGATCATCCAGGCAAGGTAAAGGACATCATAATAATATTAACCATCACCCAAGATCTGTTCAACATTAGTTTGTGTTATTGTTCACGTTGTATCTGCTTTCCGGGACGTAAAGCGATAAAAGCGTGGAAGATGTCAGAGACTAGAACCCTCGTAACTTGTATGGGGTCTATTTTATTTCGAGTAAGTATATTTATTTACTATTTATGTCGTATCCGTCTGGACATCGGCGGAGCGATCGTTTATTTAGCGTCCTTGTGATACAACTAGCGCGTCCTTTTCGAACAAGCCAAGCAAGTTGAGAACCTGCAACGAGAGAGACAAGACGTGTCTAAGGCAGAGAAGAAAGCAGAGTATTGTAACATATTGGCTGATTGCGCTAAAGTATTTGTAACTGTGATTTTGAAGTTTTGTGGTACGTCGTAACTCATATTTTAATCGATTATTGTTTTATACTTATTTTCATTACATTATTCCCATATATTTAGTAATATATTTCATCGTAACCTACACTATGGCATATCATGGCTATAAGTATGTGAAACGACAGTGTTTTAGTCGAGCTATTTGTTCTGTATAATGCGGGATAGCCGTGATTTGAGTTACAGTACAGTATATAATTTAGAGTATTTTCTAGCTAAATTACGATCTTATTTTATGTGTCAACCATTAGATGATATTTAATTTGATTCTTTAACGTCTGTATGATAAGATTTGTGTACATGTGTTCGCCACTGCATGCGACCGTGACAGCTTATGATTGTTAGTTAGCTAATTAATTACTCATGTTTATAGAGGGCGTCCTATGTAAACAAACAAGATGGCTGCGCCCATGTCATGGTTGGGTAGCGCTGTGGATTGACCCTTTACGATGTTTACGTACGCCTGAATAACCCATAAGGCGTACGTACGACTTATAAGGCGTACGTACGCCTTATTAAGGCGTACGTACGTCTTAGGAAATAAACAAAAAATTCACCATGTCCCTTAAACAGCTGCGTACTATGATAATCACAACGTGTGAGATAAAATAGATATGCCAGAAATACAAGCAATCTTAAATAAAGTAATTCCATAATAGATGTAGGTCACACATACCACACCGGCCGTCATAACTGCTACCTGTAAAATAGCGCTCATGTGAAGCGTTAATTCCTGCAATTTTATTGTTAAAGTACGGAGACAACAACGTGCTGTCCCCGCACGTTATAAATTTAAGCATATAGTAAATTATTGTTAATAGCACACAATCTCTGAAGTAAGGAAACAAATAGCTTCATTTCCCTTTCTCAAATGCTGCTAATAACACACACTTGAATAAAACCAATTCAGTTATAAGGTGGACTGCCTGAAGTAACCCCAAACCCTGCACATACATGGCTCAAAGTGACTGGTAAATTCTCAAACTAACAGTGGGCCCCACAACTAAGAATTATCACCATAAGTGAACTATAAATATGAATCGATAACCAAACATAATTATTTACCAAAATTTTGAAAACCTGCTTAATAATAATAATAATAATAATAATAATAATAATAATAATAATAATAATAATAATAATAATAATAATAATAATAAAACCTCTATTTCAAGTTTTGTCTCTTAAGGGACATTACCTGTCTCTTATACACATCTCTTCGTACAAGATAAAACCGATGATTTTGATTGGATAAGAACATCTGGATCAACACCTTCATCTCGTACTGGCCCTAAGTATGACCACACATACGGAACATCACAAGGTAATAAAAAGCTGATATGAAATTATATTTATTAAAATAATGTAAATTGAAAATGTTGCTCGAACTACAAACAAAATAAAAACGAAAGCGCAATTGCAAATATTTGTAAAGTATATCTCTCTAAAATCATAGCATTTATTTTACCATTTACTTACAGGTTTCTATATGTACATCGAAACTTCAAATCCGAGAAACTATAATGAAACTGCACGAATTTGGACACCGTCATATCCTGCAACGAACGGCACATGCGTCGAGTGGTTCTACCACATGTACGGCACCACAGTGAACATATTAAATGTGTATATAGTCAATACAGCAGGTACTGTTGGTACACCTGCATGGACAGAAAGAAACGACCAAGGAAATTTTTGGCGACTTGGACAAATCTCAGTCGAAACAAACAATACCTACAATATAGTGTTCGAAGGAATTGTAGGAAGTAGTCATACAGGTGATATTGCTTTAGATGACGTCAGGATCACTGATGGAGCATGTTTGACAGACGGTAGTACATTTTAATCTCAAAATTCATTGAAATCAAACGATTACTATCATTTTAGCAACCCGACCTTTTGTCTCGGCCTTACGATACCTTTTGACAGCTGGTATTGTTGCGAATTCGGCGCCACCCTACCCGTTACCATCCGAGTTCTGATACCACCCGTCATTTTTTTAATTGACCTACCACTTTCAGTCCATAGATAGATCCTTACCACCAAGTTTTTTTACACCATGGCCGTAACTACACATAATAAGATAATATAGCTTTATACGATACCATACGATATACTCTTATTATCAAAATAAACTTTCGTTACATTTGAGATATGTTTTGCAATGCATATTTGGGTAAAAAAGGGACATATATATCAAAGAAAGAACATTTAAAAATACAAACTGATACCAATACAGCAAGTACAATAAATATGAAGAATGAAATTTTGAAACAATTTGTTTTGGAGCTATAAAAATCTGACTTTACCTGATGTATGTATTACAATATCCTGATGAAGAATGTGAGTTGAATCTTGCATTGTGTGCTTAAACTGCTCTAATGGGTAAGAATTACAAAGTTGCTCAAGTTCACAAAGACTCACTAAAGCCAATAGATATTGAGGCTCTTTTTATAAGTATATTAATCTCAATCTTCTTACTGGCTTGCAAAAATCATATAACACAAGCACACAGTATTGATTAAATAACTGATGAGAAAAAAGACAGATACTTGAGTTGTGAGTTAACTTTAAACCTATTTATGAGATATAGAAAGTACATGCGTTTATTGCATTTTATGAGTTTATTGTCAATGATGTTTTCAATTATTTTAACTTATTCTTCAATAATGGTTAAATTATCATGATGCACAATTTTCTTACGGTAATCTACAATAATCTCTTTAGTTTTATCAACTATTAATATTAAAAAATTAACCTTACACCAATCGACCAAAGAGTTGAAAAAAGACCAATACGGAGTAATAATATTACTCTGTATTGGTCTTAATAATTATATTATAATTATTTCTGACAAGCTTAAGTCGTCAGCGAATTTAAGATTAAAGCATTTACTCTGTTTAATTGGGGTACAAATGCCACTGGCATATAGATAGAACAAAAGGGGTGACAAAACACACATTTGAGGAGCTTCGGTGTTACATACAAGTGAAGAGGATGTGAAACCATTAAACTAAACTATTTGACTTCTCCACTAAGAATGTCAGAAATCCAGAAGTTCAACTGAGCTACCCCATCTTGATTAGCTAATCGGTAAGAATATGCGGTTGAATTGTGTTAAACGCTAATTTGAAGTAAAGTCAAGGAACAAAATCATAGCACACGTACAGGTACTCTAAACGGGCGTCCACCTTTGAGTTAAATGCTGTAACAGCATCGACAACCCCCCCACCCCACCACTTTTTCCATGTACGCATGTTGAAACAGTATATTCAGTTAAAATGAATTCTCAATTTTTTTCAAAACATTTCATGGGACTAGCATTAAGAACAATATGTCTATAATCATTGCATATCAAAGGCTTCTTTACTTCGATGTAGGAAATATTTCCATAGCTTAGGTACACAAGAAATACCTAAAAAAAAACAAAAAAAAAAAAACAACAAAAAAAAACACCGCTAAAACATTCGCTAAAAAGTCCACAGGGCCATATTTACTTACAACTCCGTTTTATTTACTGCATTCCAATCCATACATTCCGAATGTCGCCATATTCAAATTTATCTTCGATTAATTTTCCGATCACTCTTTTACTTACTTTCTAAATGCGTTTACTGTTTGCCAGATCTCCATTACGGCATGTAGAATATCTTTCTTTATATTTGGATAATATGTCTCATAGATTTAGTTGGTATAATTGCGTCTTCACAAAAGTTTATGTACGACGATACACTTTTAGTTGCTATATCAAGAAAATTATTAGTTAGAAAATGTCCAAGTCGTTCACTTCAAAGAAACTATTGAACTCATCTATAGTATCTCTTGATCCCACTTTCACAGTTTTAGTAACTGCTTTATCCTTTTTTGTTTTCGTTTGTACTTTGGTAACAGATGAATGAGGTGATGGTCAGATTTAATAGGCCTACACCTTTTATTATGTCAGAGCACTCCACCAATATCTTTACCACACAGAATTCAATACACATTTTCTTGCAATTATTATACACAATCAATCAATATAAGGAATGAATATATTGATTGATTGCCAGATTTTTAACAAACCAATTGTGGGTAAAATAATAGAATAAGTACACAGCGTGAAACATACATAGATGTCATTAAACATAAGTAGAAAATTATTTGGTGCAATGCTTCTATATTAAAACATTCTAATCTTGTGCCTAGAGTGCACTTAGTTGGACACATAAAAATCGTTTATCAGTATAATGACTATCCAAATTCTGTTTCCCATTTATTAACAGATGCTGTTGTTTATGAAACACATTTCTCAATTAAACTGGAATTATTTTATTATGATTTTCGTTGATAGAAAGGTGTGAATTGTCAAGGTCATGCACTACATTTTATCCAGTGTTAAGAAATAGCGCTTACAATGTCGTTGTACCTTTTTATTTTACTTGAAATATACTGGATTTTGATTATTTTCTGATAATTGGATTTTTTTTTTTAACTGAGAATTTTTTTCATTTCATTTTCATTTATTGGTATGAAAAAAAAACTCAGAAAGTAACATAGAAATGTTGATCGAAAGGTATCTAAATTTACAATACAAACGGATAAATAATACAAGACATCAAACGGAATAAATTGATGCCTAAACTAAAACATCAACATTTGACAAGGATAATAAAACATGACTTACAATATACTAGATATACAAGAAAATAAATAATATTACATTTATTACGAGGACGTCAATTCAATCATTGTGCAGTTGTCATTAAAATCTAAAGAGTATAACCTACATCGTGATCGTCTTTCCGGATGGCGCCGACATTTTCCGTTTTGTTTATTAATATAGATATTTCTTTGCTGAAATTATTAAAGTTCAAAAGTTAATATTAATGTAATTATTATTACCCGTGATAGTGTTATTCCCACTGAACAGTTCATTGGACCACCTGAACCATTACGTAAACAAGTTGAAACTGATGAAGTTGGAAATGTAGCTAACAAAAAATTATTGTGCACTTGGCCTGGATAGAAAATAATCAATGACTAAACGTCTTTTGAAAAGCATCAATATACTAAATGCATTGGTGAAGCAGTGTTAGCTCCACTTTGGAATGCAAATAAAGAAAATAAAACACTAACAATTTTAAGTAGTTCACCTCCCAAAATATTTTCCTTAGTAGCATCAAATAAGATCGAAAACAAGTAAAGCTCGTAGCAGAGTTGGAAAACATTTATCAAGTCTCTCTAATTTCACTAATACAAAAATTAAAAAACCTAAAAGGTTTTAAAAAAAAACTTACACAACTTGCCGTAAGCAAGTATTGTTGGACCCAGATTTAAAAAAAAATTACACCTAAAATGTTAAAGAAGCAAATAATCTAATATATTATTAAAAATTTGAAAATAAAAATGTGTGTAGGTCATTAACTTATGGAAGTATTTTGAAGGCCAGTTCGACTTTATACGAGTAAAATTGTAAAGTTCATGAATTTTTTAATTATTTGAAAAATTCATTCCGAATTCTTTAGATATAAAATAGGAATATGATTAAACTCATTGCCAACAATTATTGGTATATTGAAATGTAAAAGTTTTTTACTATTAAAGTTAAGAATTATTATTGAAACTATGTAAATGCATTGACTTTTTTTCTTGTATAATTTGTAGCGCAAAGCAACTGTGATTTCGAGGATCCATACATTTGTTACTTTGATCAAGATGAACTGGATGATTTTGATTGGATAAGAACATCTGGATCAACACCCACATCTGGTACTGGCCCTACGTATGACCACACCTACGGAACATTACAAGGTATTAAAAAGCTGACATGAATTTAAATTTCCTAAATGAAATTGTAAATTATTAATGAAAATATTTCTAAAACTACAAACGAAATAAATAAAATAAACTACAAAGAGATATAACGACAATGTCTCTTAAACAAAATATTTATTTTATCATTTGCCTACAGGTTCCTACATGTACATCGAAACTTCATATCCGCGATACAACGGCGAAACCGCTCGTCTTTGGACATCTTCATATCCTGCAACAAACGGCACATGCGTCAAGTGGTTTTACCACATGTACGGAGCCACAGTGAACACATTGAATGTGTACATAGTCAATACAGAAGGTACCGTTGGTGCACCTGCGTGGGCAAATAGAAACGACCGAGGAAACATTTGGCGACTTGGAAAACTGTCAGTTGAAACAAAGAGTGCCTTCCAGATAGTGTTTGAAGGAATTGTAGGAAGTAGTGATAAAGGTGATATTGCTTTAGATGACGTCAGTATCATCGATGGGGCATGTTTGATAAACGGTAAAATACACTTACATAAATATTAGTTTTGCCACCTACGCCCTATAATAACAGTCTGTGAAAAATAAGGGGGTAACTTAAATAAGAAATTATAATATATATCCCCCACACACTTTCTTACAAATGATTGAAACGCTCACACAAAGTGCAGCTGTAGAAAGACTAGGAAAACTAATAGTCTCAACTTTAAAATCATGGGAAATATTGCTCAATAAAAGGCTTTCCTCACGCTCAAAGATCATAAACATCACCAGCAAAGCAAATGAACACATCCAACAGTGGTGATAAACAACAAACATTTAAAAAGTAACTAGGTGTAGTGCGATAAACTCATACACCAAAACATCACTACGTCATATCATAAAAGAAGAGAAAAGAAGGCAGCACCCACAACAATAACAACGCAACCAAATCAATTGCTACATAGCTTAAAATTGGAATCGAATAAAAACCAATAATGAAGAAAGCTTTCATAACATTCAAAGACCATAACGAAAACTTTTTACATAAACCAAACTACAGACTCGTAAAACCACCAAAAATCATAGGCAATGACCTGCTCACAAAAGCACATATAAACAAATGGTAAAACGCCATTTCTGTCAACCAAATCAATTGCTACAAAGCTTAAAATTGGAATCAAATAAAAACCAATAATTAAGAAAGCTTTCCGAAAGGTCCACTGATTAATCTCAGATAAGAAAGTATAATACAAACTCCAAGTATTGAAATACACGCCATCGTGTTGGGATTAAATATTTCGACACTAATTATGTCATCATCAGGAATGAAAAAATTATCCATATTAGCAAGCTTATATGCACTAGTATCAAAAGTGTTTAACCAATCAAAACATTACCTCTAGTAGGTGACATAGCAGTGATTTAAACAAAAGATCAAAGTATTCTTACTCTAATGATCAAAGATACCTACAAAAACAAAGAAAGCTCTTTTGAAGCTCTGAGCCCATTGTTAAGCAAAGGGTGTAGTCTACGTATAGCGAACCATCTAGATGTGTATAAGAGACAGAT